GGCTCAATATGTCAATACTTTCCGGGGTTGAGTGATTTTTTTGTCTTATGTCAGCAGACGAAGATTCCATAGGTATGGATGGGTTTGATATTAGTCGTTTAAATTCCGTAGACCACAAACGGTGACTATCTGCAGAATTAATAGATCTATCATTAAGATCGAATCATAAAATCTTAATATATAATATTAAAAATAATGTAAATATATAATGGATCGAACACTTAGCAGTTGTCATTAAATATATAATAATAGGTAAAAAGTAATACATAGGTGTTTTTTTTCGAAATATTCGACACTTTTATGGTATTTGATTCTATACATAAAAAGTAAAACATAATTTTTAACATGGCATGGTTCTTGTATAAAGCGTTCTCATATCAAAATATAAATTTCACAATTGCTTTATACTTATATATAATTAATATAATCATTTCGTGGATCGGTTCATATCATAAGCGTAGATACATTAATGGTGGACAATATGGGCAGTTGGTACAAGAGTTTTCACTAAAGGTGCTGAGTGAACAACTGGAACTGAGTGTACAACGGGTGCAGCATGTACTGAGTGTACAACGGGTGCAGCATGTACTGAGTGTACAACGGGTGCAATTGTTTTTACTACAGGTACTACTGGTTCTAAGGTTTTGACTACTGGAACAATTGGAGCAGCATGAACTGAGTGTACGACTGGTGCAGCATGTACTGAATGTACGACTGGTGCAACATGGACTGAATGTACGACTGGTGCAGCATGCACTGAGTGTACAACTGGTGCAGCATGTACTGAGTGTACAACTGGAGTAATAGTTTTGACTACTGGAACGACTGGAGCAGCATGTACAGAGTGAACAATTGGTTCCACAGTCTTTACAACTGGTACAATTGGTGCAGCATGAACAGTGGTTTTTACAATTGGAGCAACAACAGATTCTACGACAGCTTTGTTGTGTACACGTGTGAAACTTTGGTGAGAGACAGCAGATGGCGCGCTATGCACAACGGTGCCTACTTTAGCAACAACTGGTTCCACAACATGATGAGTTTCAATAAGACCAGCACTTGCAGCGGCGGCAATGAAGAGAAGACCGAAAATGGTGTACTGTAAGAAAGGGGTTATTAAGGATATAAAAATTTGAATAAAAATTGTTGGAATTTTATAAAGATACTTACAGATTTGCACATATTGCTTTTTGGTATGTTTTGAAACTGTGTTGTCAAAGTTTAAATCCAAACTGTTGATCTTTGCAATCAGTTTCTACACTTTTATACAAATATGTGCTGCTATATGATATTATCTATTACGTCTGAACGTCGCAAAAAACTTAGTTTTCAATTCATAATTTTATTGTTGAGAGCCAAAGCAGACGTTAAACTACTTGAGTCCCTACAATTGACATATATTACCGGCTTACTGACCTTCATCATCAGCGCTTCAAGCTGACATAATAGCTTAGAGTAATTATTACGCACAAAACTCATGAGCTACCTTATCACTGGCAACAAGCAAATTAGTTGCGGCTTGTTATGTACTACAATTACCGAAGGTTGGTGTTTGCATAGGTTTTCAATTAACTGAATTTTGTATTTTATACAAATTTATTTATTCAATTTTGAATTATTCAATTTTCGAATACTTTTGTAAAAAATCGAGCTTTGTCAAACACAAAAACCGCGATGCAGCATTTGTCAATTCATCTTAGACTCAAGAAAAGATCAAAACGTGAATTAAACCACGTATTTTTATGATTTAATAACTTTGCCTTAATGATTGGGGTCTAGTCAGTTTATAGGCTTTAAAAATGGGTGTAGCGTTTAATGCCCCCATTGGGATTGGTGCCTGTCAGTCAGTTTCGATTAGTTTATGAAGTTTTGTAATCCATGAGATACTTTGGTGCTAATTTCCATACCATGATTTTGCTTTATATTTTATGTTTTGGTTTTGTTTTAATGAAACTAAGGAGTTGAACAGTTCAAGTTCAATGTAGGTGTTTTGTTTCTAATGCCAACCTTTTCAAATATTTAAGCCCTCATTGAGTATTGTGTAAATAATAATAGAAACTGATTTCATTGTTGATTTCTGAATATTGTTATTTTAACAAAAATTTTGCACTGCAAGTAACGAAAAATTATAAACATTTTAGCAGTATTTTCTTAAATTTGAACATTTTTCCTAAACTTAGTTTAAGTTTATATGAAGGGCATTTTTATTTTTGCAAATAAAAATTTTGTGAAAAATTACTATATATAAAAATTGCAATTTTAGATTTCATCATCAGTTGACTAATAATCTCTTAACTGCAACTATTAAGCAGCATTCAAAAAAATTCAATAAAAATGTTCAGACTTGTAAGTAAAATTTTATTTTTACCTCTTTATCATTTATTTATAATAATTTATATTTAAATCTTCAGTTTGTTGTTTGCGCCTTAATTTCCATTGCCGCAGCTAACCCAGGATTTGTTCAACCTGTTGTAGCTAAAGTGGGAGCTGTCGTGCATAGTGCACCATCTGCTGTTTCTCATCAAAGTTTCACACAAGTTCATAGTGAGGCTCATGTTGTGAGTCCAATTGTTAAAACTATTGCTGCTCCAATTGTGCCAGTAGTGAAAACAGTAGCTACACCCGTGATCCATACACAGTATGTAGCTGCACCTGTGATTAAAACTGTTGCTCCAGTTGTTCCAGTTGTTAAAACGTATGCACCTGTAGTGCCTGTTCTGAAAGCTGTTTCAGCACCCATCTCTTACCAAAGCCATAACCAAGTACATCTACGTAAACCTGTAATTGCTCCAATTATAGCTTCGGTTCCAGTGGTGCATGCTGCTCACTTTGTTCATTAAATTTGTTGAATTTTTTTAAAGAAATTGTAGTCAAATAAATATTTGTTTTATTTATTAATGAAATTGTTTTTTATTGGATCTATAATCTATTTAATGGTTGTTTGTACAGAGAATAATATTATTAATAATAATATTATATTATAATAATATATTATTTACACAAACAATTTATGTTATTTACACTAACATATATCAGTTGAGTGATAATCTTGTGTACTAAAATTGTGATACCACGGATGAATACTGTCCGTAGTGCAGACTTAAGGGACCACATTAAAGATATAAGTCCGCAATATCTACTGTTTTTTTTTGAGAAGGGTGACTTCCTATATAAGTTGAAAGAAACCAATCAAATAAGTTAATAAACTTATTTCTATCCTTAATTTCAAAGGGTAGTAGATAGGTCAGGTGTTTCAGAAAAGAAAATCATTTTTACATTCAAAGATTTTGAATCTTTTTTAACCAATGATGGGAACTCAATACATAGTTTTTCTCAATCAAAAACTGTTTACCTGTTGATCGGTTAGTAGTGGTACTATGTACCTGTGAGAATTTTGTCCACATTACATCGGGTGATTATTGTGATATGACAAGAATCCTAATATGCCTAGGCTTTCCTTGTTAACGCTAGGTAACATATATTAGGCATATAAAAAAATTCTAAACATATACTTCTATCTATAGTGATAGATAGAAAATATCATATAAGTTGCACTATTACTTTGGAAATAACGATGTGAACAGATTGATTCTATTATTCAAGCAGCTAATGATCTATTTGAATGAAATATATATCATAATAAAGTTTAACAGAAACAAAAATTACAAATAAAATAAATAACATAAAATAACGTAATATAATATAATATAAAACAAAATAAAATTTAATAAAATAAAATCAAATAAAATCAAAGTCAAATAAATTCAAATTAAGTAAAATAAAATATAATACAATACAATGTGATAATATAAAAATTATTTAAATAATGTAAAATAAAATAAAATTGATTAAAATAAAATGTAATAAATCAGTAGAAGTAAAATAAAATCAAATAAAGTCAAACTAATTCAAATTAAGTAAAATAAATTAAAATCACATAAATTCAAATATAGATAAATAAAAATATATTATAAAAAAATTAAAATCAATTAAAATAAAATGAATTAAAATAAAATGAATTAAAATAAAATAAATTAAAATAATATAAAAAATTTAAAATATTATTAATATCTAAATCAAATCAAATCATATCAAATAAAATAAAATAAAATAAAAAAAAATAAATAAATAAAATAAAATAAAATAAAATAAAATAAAATAAAATAAAATAAAATAAAGTAAAATAAAATAAAATAAAATAAAATAAAATAAAATAAAATAATAATAAAATAAAATAAAATAAAATAATAATAAAATAATATAAAATGGAACAAAATGAATATAATAAATCAAATATATAAAACGAAAGTGCTAGCCATCTGCACTAAAAATATCAAATGAAAATGGAAAACACTTTTTTAAGATAATACGTAGAAAATTGACATTTTTAGTTATTTAAAGAACCTTCTCTGAGAAGTTAGCTTTTAATTAAGATAGCCAAACAATAACTATCGCCCTCACCGTCACAATTTTTCAGATTGATCGAAATGAATGGAACTAAATGAAATCGTTATTTCTTTAGAACAAAATAGGTTAGATACACTTCCTTGCTGAATTTGACGAGTAACTTGGTCGTTTAACCAAGCTATCAAATAAACATGACACACCTTATAATTATTTTAATGGATTATTTATTGAATATTTATACTTTAATACACGCCTTTTCCAGTTTCACTAATGTGATTTTAGTGCTACCTTCACTTAATCACTCCAATCGGAAACAGTTTTCTCCAACTGCTTAACCCTCTGCTTGCTACTTCAATCACCTCGTTCGTTAAATTATTTTTAATGATTCGCATGATATGTTTAAGTCAACTAAGCCACTGGTTTTAAATTTGCTCTTATTTAATTGAGATGTACCAGTTTCCCTGGTGGGACTTTTAAGTAAGGCTTTATTCCCCATAAAAGAAAAAAAGCTCGGCTTCGATACTATGTCTATAAATTTTTTCAAGAGCTGCCGCAGTGTGAAAATCTGGTCAGTGGAAGAGTGATAGTATTTAAAACCAAACTCTCATAAGACCCAAACAGAAATTTGGCAATTTGATTAAGAAGAATCTTGCACATGTAAGAAGGATCTTGAAGTGTTCAAGTAGGTTGCTTAGTTGCTCGTCGATGCTTAGTTGACGCAAATCGCTGGGTCACTTCTTTTAAGTATACATACATTGTCTTTAAGTATACCTCCTCTTTTAAGTCAGTTATACCTTAGTTTCAAAGTTCCGATCTCATACATACGAAATATACTTTGTGAATAAAGTTTACTGATAAGGGTTTGCTTGGTAATGTACAAAATATTATTGTCGATAATACTATTTAAAAATTCTTTAATTTAAATAAAAAGATTGTATTTTAGATAATAATATTCTTTTATTTGTTTATTATGTTCGAATTAATTATTCTAGAGTTAAATAAGAGGTATCACATTGTCTTAAATTTTAATGATGAAGGGAGTAGGCAACTGGAGAGGAGACGACAGTTTTAACTAATGGAGCTGAGTGTACAACAGGAACTGAGTGTACAACAGGTACTGAGTGTACAACTGGGGCGGCATGTACAGTGTGAAGTACAGGAGCGGCATGTACAGTGTGAACAACTGGAGCTGCATGAACGGTGTGCACGACGGGAGCAGCAATAGTCTTTACAACTGGTACAGAATGCACAACAGGAGCAGCAACAACAGATTTTACAACTGGAATGACTGGTTCAATGGTTTTTACAACTGGAACTACTGGAGCTAATGGCACTTTTCTTACTAAGTTGGTGTAACTTTGATGTGTTACTGCCGATGAAGCGCTATGATCCACAATAGCAGTTTTAGTGAGAACAGCGGGCTGTACAATGGTGTGGGTTTCTGCAAGCAAACCGGGCTTAGCAGCAGCAACAGCAATAACAGCGAAGAATGCAATCTAAATATACAAATAATTATATCCTTTAATATCCTTTGAGTGTAAATATTTTTATATCAACTTACGTATTTGAACATTTTGTGAGATTTGGATTTTTGTGTCTGTTTTGATTTGAAGAAATCGTTTAAAACTGATGCTCAATCGTTGGTTGGTTTCAGTTTATATACAAAATTCATGACATTGTAAAGTAGCTGCTTAAAATTGTTGAACACAATTACTAGACAAATCAATTGTTAGGAAAAATATTTAAGATATTATACAACCGGTTTTAATGCTTATATCAATTTTATTATTATACATAGTGTATATACTAAAAATAGACTTTTATTTAGATTGCTAAATGTGTTATATGTTAAAAATAAAAACATTTATTTTGATTTTGGTTTAAAGTAATTTTATTTTATTTTACTTTTTTAGAGAAATCCAATTTCAATCACATAAGTTTAAAAGATATATGATATTTTGTTTTAATCCAAAATATATGACCAGTATTTATGCATTTCCACTTTTTCACATTTGCCTAAATCACAGATCCACACGCTACCATTTTCTGCCTTTTCAATAGCTTGCATCATTGCTTCTGCACACTCTTCAGCAGTCTGATTTTTTGCTTTAATAATTCTTTCACTTATGGGCTTTGACATCTCAAACGTATCAACGCCTACAAATGTGTCTAACAGACCAGTAACGGTGGCACCAGGACAAATCGCAATATATGAAATTCCTGTTATGTTATTGTAATGTGGATCCTAAATTTTTTAAATATTTTAAATATTTTTATAAGAAATATATATAGCCTTATTTTTAAATATTGTCACTAACCGCAAGTGATCTCGTAAAACCAACCACTCCATGTTTAGTAGCTGAATAGACAGCAGCAAATGGACCGGGTTCTAATCCTAAAACTGAAGCTACATTCACTATTAAGCCTCCTCGACCACTTTCACTTTTACTCATTATTGGCACTGCAACCAGTGTAGTTTCAATTAAACCCGTCTAAGTATAGGTTGCAAATGTTATTATTAATTAAAAACGAAATTAATATTAATATTGAAAATGAAATTATATTAAAAATATAAAATAAAATAAAATAAATAATTTTATAATAATATAAAAATAAAATAAATAATAATAAAATAAAAAATAAATAAATTTATTTAGTCGCATTGTGAAAATGTTTTCCTTAGAAAATATTTATGTTCCGTGACATATAATTAAAAAATTATGTTATACATATAATATTTAGTTAATTTTAATTTATTTCAATTCTAAAGTAAACCATCCGGAGCTCAACATAACTAAAATGTGTGGATACAGTAAGATTAACGACAACCAAAGTGCCAATTAATAGGACGATGTGACTAAATTTCTTAAATGTCAGCTAATAAAAATGAAGAACTAAAAAGGGAAAATAAAAGAAACAAAAGTGCAAGCAAATAACACAAAAATATGAAAATATAAAACCTACAGAAATCTACTTATAAAACTGCCAGACCAGGTAACACTACTAAAAAAATTAAGGAATAAAATCTCTAGAAAACCTATCTTAATACTACATTTTAAAATGCGGAAATTTAGAAAAAAAAGTTTGAAAGTGTCTGCTAACAGCACTAAAAATATGAAAAATACTTTCTGGAAACAATCGCTGAAAAATATTTTGAATATGATCTTATTATTAGGATTATTGTAGTTGTTTCGCACACTCGCTTAAGTAACTTCCATTACCAGAATTTAATCTGCAGAGATTTCAAATATATATTTACTACTTTATCGTGAAATTAAATAAGAGCCAACTAAGTTTTTGTGATTTTGAACCAAACTATTGATACGAAAAATACCGAGAAACTTCGTGTTTATATGCAAAATTTCCGGCTTCTCTGCGCTCCGAATCTAATTTTAATAATTTTAAAAGTAAATATGAATTTCGACATAAAACGTTAATAGGTTTATTATTAAAAATGATTATCGGTATTATTATATTATTCTTGTAATTTTTCTGTTTCTTTACAAGACCTCAGAAGATCTTTAATTTAATATCCTTGTTATATAGTATTTATTGGTGACATGAGTAGGCGTGTTGTGGAGGAGGTGGAGTTATTTATTATTTTTTGAAGCTTTCTATTATTTTGTTCCAGACTGCAGAGAAAAAAAATTAATGATAGTCGAGATTACTTCTTCAATCGTTTAACAGAGGTAGCGAAGACAGTTTATTTTATTTTCATTAATATCATTTGAAAAGTTTTGATTAAGATAGTTGGCTATAGTGGTGATAAACTTTTCTGTCGCCGTGCTGTTTTGTTACCACAACCCGTTTATAAAAATCTAATCTTAATACTAATTTGTGTGGATGATAAAGGAGATTTTTTTTTTAATTTCTGTATATGGGATCACCACTCGTTTTTTAAGTTCCTGAATTTCCATAGTGGATAGTTTTAGCCTTGCTAGGTAGACAAAGTGGGCAGCACATAAAAGATAAGTTTTGCCGTAACAAAAGTGCAAAAAAACACAAGTAAAACAAGCATAAAAGAGTCACAACGGGAATTGTATAATATCAAGATCTTTGAACTTCCAGGATTATCTTCTTTTATTTGTTCTTTCTTTAATATTGAAACGAAAACTGAAATTATAGTTAAAATTCTTAATAAGTAAGGTGTATAGCTTGGCTTGGGCAATTTTGAAGCCATCACAATGGGTTATAGTGAAAAATTTTACATTTATATTAATAACACTCTCTTTATAGCATATCTTAATACAGTAGCTATACAATAACACAATAATCATAATAACTTGTAAAATAAATCATTAATCAGCACTTAACCATTTTAAAACCCTTTATGCTTACCAGGTTTATGTCCACGCATAATTGAGGTTTGCGATCATTTACTATACCGCTACCATTAATTAGAATATCGATATATCTAATTTTATGTACTACAGTCTTCAATATACGTTCTATAGTCACTCTGCCGTTGAGTAGATTAAGTGGCATAAATTCCACACTAGCGTTTGGACTTAGTTTGTTTAGTTGTTGCAGCTTTGGAGAATTTTCGTTGACATCTAATATAATAAGTGTCTATATTTATTTAAAAAAAAATTATTTTTATATTAAATAAAATATTTGTAATACTAATATGTTTACATTAATTCCCCGTTTTAAGAACTCCGCGCAGCATGCGAAACCAATGCCTCCAAATCCACCGACATAAACAACGTTTTTACCTATTAAACTCATGGCAAATCGGTTATTTTTATAAAATGAAATTTTATTAATAAAAAAATTATATATATTAATTGTAAAAAAATTTAGAACGATGCTAACGAAGCGCACGGTTGGGGTCTTCTAAATGTACTAATTAAATTTTTGAGAAATGCTTTGGGTGCAAATTTCACTATATGCTTAAAGTTTTAAGTTTATCTGGCATTGCATGAGGTCAACCGAGTGTGATTAACATTATACAGTTGAAAGAGAATATAATGCATTAAAGATGATAATACTTAAAATAAATAATATTCAAAATTGATAAGAAACTTTTACATAAGTACGATGGTAACGAATTTCTTTGAAAAATTTTATATGTACTTAGGTCAGCAAACTACTGAGCTGATAACTTTGCTTTTATATTATGCATCTGGTATATATTCCAAAGTATTTAAAAAAAATCGGATTAATTACTCTATATAAAACTATTTACCTAATTAAGTAAAAGTGACACATTTAATCAGTGTGAGTGTAGCTTTGATCACTGCATGGCGCGCATCATCAAGAACGACCTCCAAAACCCTTAATTAATTACAGACAAATTTGTTTTAAATTTATTTTATTATGAACTTAATCAGTTATCAGTTATCTTACGAATAATCGATGTCATTAATTTTTGCACTTTATTTGATATACTTTAGGATTGTTCACTTCACTCCACACCTTTTCACTTAAAGTTTCCATTTCGAGGGTCGTTAATGTGCCAGATGCGCTCGTATCTTGATTGAATGCTGTTGAAAACAATCCAATTCGTCAGATGATTATGTTTACAACAAAGCTGCGTCCTACATCCAACACAACAACATATGCTGACAGACTCTTTAAGCCAGTGTGGGCAATAAGTAAGCAGCGCAAGAAAAACACTATAAACTCGGATAAAAACAATAAAAATGCAACGAAATCTCAAGTGTTGGGGAACAAATTTAGATTTACGAGCGTTTTTATGATTTTAAAATTTTGCCATTTAAATTTGTAAATTTGTAAATTTGTACTGCAAATGCCAAGTTGTTGTAATTGCTGGCGGCTGGTCGTACCGGCAGTTACTGCCAGTCACCAGACGCCGTCACCACTTTAAGTGGAGTTGTCAAAATTGTGGGTTAAGTGCTTTAGTGTGACCTTGACATAGGGACTGATTCCATTCTTGTTGGTTAAGTTGTTTGTTGTGATAAATTCGAGTTGAGTTGATGCTTTTTACCGTTTTTACAAAGTTGAATTGACCATGAATCATCGCCGACTATGATGCAATGATATAGATATTACGAGTATTATTTAACTTTGGCGAGTATGTATATATGATTACATCGAAGGGCGAATGTGACTACTTGCATTAAAGGTTTAAGTATTAAACTGAAGTATTTTGATTGATATTTTGACTTAAGTGCTTATTTGAGTATGGCTTTTTATAAAGAATTTTTCAATTTAATTGATTTTAAGTTTTCTTGATATACACATATAAACAAAAATTAATCTTGAAAGATTAATTTCGAAATTGTAGATTTTTGAAGGGATTTACTTGTATAATTAATTTTTTGTACAAATATTTAAATTTATTAATATCAATATTTACAGTTTAACATATTTAAATAAAATTTGATGATGAATTCAAAAAGTTTAACTCATTATAGTACATTAAACCCGTATACGTATTACTTAATATCTATTAAGTACAATTCAGCAATAGTGATAAATTAACAAATAGTTAAAATTGCACTATTCATATCCAATAGAGGATGTTAGAAAAAGAAAAAATTATAGTACATCATCAAATTAGTTCTGCACTTCTAATTCTTTTTTGTGTTAGTAAAATAAAATCCATTCATTTTTTTTTTTAAGTAATAGGCTATTAAAGCACCCCGACCTAAAAGATCTATTGTGCGTCTAAAGGCCCAACTAGGACAATTTTAGACTATTCATAAATCTTGTAATTGCTGTGGGCTTAATTTCACCTATTTGACTTAGGACTAATATCCCGCTTCCAAGGTAATCGAGTCTACGTCTCGCTACCGCTGGGTAGTTGCATAGAACATGTTCTGATGTTTCCTTGTCCTCATGACAGAGTCGACAGGAGTCACTTTCTACCACACCTATAATCTTCATGTGGTAATTAAGTCTACAGTGTCCTGTAAGAAGTTCAGTGTAGATTTTAATATCGTTTCTGCTAAGGCCAAGGATAGCATCAACTTTGATGTGATCAGGATCAATGAATCTTTTTGACTGTCGCATGCCTGTTTGGACTCTCCAGTGTTTAAGTAGATATTGTTTCTCCCGTTCACATAATAACCTATTTGTGAAGCTATTTTTTTACCCCGCAGAAGGACTCTGGACCAATGAAAGGAGTACGTGCATCCTTCTTTGCTAGGGAGTCTGCTATTTCATTGCTCTCATGCCATTCAGATGGCTTCAGATCTGACAAATTCACCATAGACCAGAAAAATAGTGCTTCAAGTCCTGGACAAGACTCAAGAAAAACAAATTGAAACACTAATTCTGTTAGAAATGAAAATAACCCCACCGAACCGTTGGATAATAAAAAGAGGTTCAGAGAGGTTGACTCCTTATTGTGTGATTTTCTCAATATAATGCTTGGAAACTATAATTCGAGTAGCAGAATTAAATCAAACTGGCACAATATTTTATAAAGGTGTGATGCTGCTTGACTATGCCGAGAATATTGATATCGTTTACCAATTTAAAAAAACAAGCCAAGCAAATTGGACTTGTATATATATGAATATATTTAAAAAATAAATTTTCTGAGCAATTTTAGATCGATGTCACTGTTGACAATTATAAGTTCGAAATAATGAAAGACTTTTAGTTGCAACCTGCGAAAGCATCAAAATAAAGTACCTATTTCCAATAGATGTTTTTTCGGCTTCAGTATTTAATTAAGAAATAAAACCCTCTCCGGCAAACAAAAATCAGGCTCTATAAATCCTTTAACATGATTATTCTGCTGTATGGTGTAGAAACTTGGACAATAACTAACAGTGTTGAGAAGGAATTAAGAATATTCGAGAAGAAAATTAAATTATGTTTCATGTAGTTTAGTTTAGTAACGAGTATATCAAATATCGCTATACTGCGATATTGATATAGTTAAGTGCATAAAAGTTTAGCGGTTCCACTAGTTTAGACGACTCTCATCTGTAGTAGTCACCTAAGTAAGTACTTTAGTTAATATAATTTTACAAAGAAGTTGTTTGTTGATATGTTTAAATATAACTTAAAACTTCATAATTCGTTTTCTTCTGAAAGTGCCTTGATTCTTCACTTAGTACATATTCATCGTTATCATATTCAAGACACCTCACCTTACCTTCTCATCTTAGAGAGTGTTTTCTATTCATCACTACTGTTTCTGCAATAGATGGTCAAAACAGGCCGTTATCTGGCATTCTATAGTGCTTCTTTACACCATATTAAAATTATTCATGATTTTTTAAAAGCATATTTATTTTTGCAAGATACTTTATTGATTTCCCTCGTTACTGCCATTAAATATCTTCTTGAAGTCAATAAACAGTGCGTAAACAAGTTTGAAACTGGTTGAATACTTTCAAAGCGCTTTCTTATATTGGATGTATATATTAATATATATCTTATATTTGTAGTGTCGAAGACAAATTGTGATTTATATTGAATATTAAAAAGTTTCATGCACTGGGCATACTTACATAATTTAAGTTAATGACAACTTAAACTTATAAAAATAAATTGTTACTAACCAACAGGTGTGCTGTGTTATGAAAGTTTTCCACGTACTAAATAGAATAAATTAATTACAATTAATTAGCATTTTCATGTTTAGAAGAAATTAATTCTATTCAATTAATTCAATCGCTATTAATAGTTTCAGATGAAAAGAATGGGCTCAGAAGAACAACAATACTAGCGACACTTTGTAAAAGTAATACATTATGAAGTAGCGGGGTCCTCTTGATTGGAATTGGAATTACTTCTACAAAATTTTGCTTTTGATCAATGTTTTAAATAATATTTATGTATTTGATTCTCACCTACGGCTTAACTACTTCTTACCTATTTTAATCCCTACTTCGTTACATATTCTATATACACAATATTTAGAAAATAGGAACGCCGTTAAAAATATATTTGCAACCTGTACCAATTGTCTTTTCATTAATTTCAATTGATTTTATTAAAACCATAAAATTTAAATAGCAAAAAATAATATTTTTATATAGTTATTATATAATCCTTATATAAATATTTTCTTTATTTTATAAAAACTGTGTTTCAACATATTTAAGTTTGTATCAATCTTGTAGTGACGATCATACATATTATATTTTTGTTATTCTGATTAATACCCTCATTATTCAATTTGAAACTAAATCTGAATTCTAAAAACCAACGTTCTATTATAGGTGCTACATTTAATGTGACTAACAATTCTCAAGTACTTGAAATATAAATGATTATGTATTTAAAAATAATGTATATCACAACTCATTAAGTTTTAATAATGATTTGAATTTTAACGAACTTTAGTTAATAGTCACCATAATTATCTTTTTTTTTATTTGGAATCATTTTATTTTGCTGTTATAAAAAAAACGCCTCAAATATCCATAATTTATTGTTCTCATCATCCTATAGAGTGTTTAGCTGGCTGCTTAATATTTCAAATGCTTAAATTTCATTTGCAATAAACGTTTAGTGTTGGATTTTATTAACAATTCTCAACTACTTGAAAATGAAATTACAATAAAATTATTGAAGAGATAATCTAATTTGTAAATTTTAATATAGTTCTTTATGATTGGTTGATAAACAGTTGTTTTTTATTAAACCAATTTTATTTTCATAAATGGAATATACCGGGGACGTTTATAGTGTAGTTAGTTGTCCTATAAATTGTAGTTGATTATATAAGCTTCTTATTAATAAAATTTCATTTATAATAAACATTTTACATGGAAACCTATGTATTTGAACATACTTATAGCCACGGTTGCCACTTATGGTACTTTAGTACCAAAATTGGTACTTTTTTTTCGTTTGGTACTCATGTTCAAAAAATGGTACATTTTTGACGACCCAACTTTATTGTGGATATTTCCAATTAATTTTTTTTATAAAGGCAACTTTGCACTATTTTATATTTTGTTCATTTATAACACTATGAAAAACACAGAACGAAAAAATAAAAAGGTCCAAAAAAATTTTTTCCCAGAAATGGTACCTTTTTAAACCAATTTTGGTACAGGAAAAAGTTTTCAAATGGCAACCGTGCCTATGAGTATCTTTATACATATTTATTATATATGTGGTAATAGTTAAATTAAGTTAACCATAATTTTTGTAATGTGGTGTAGGAGAAAATAAGGGTGTCCATATAAGTTTATTATGTTTTTAATCGCAGTGATGAAATGAATTGATTTGGCAATGTCCCTTTGTCTACCAGTCTATTTGTTTGTCTGTATCTTTATATTACTTACGGAATATTTGCAAGTTCGTCTATTTAATTAAATCAAATCAGTTTTCTTAATTTTTGTACTTAACTTGTAGAAACTATAAGGAAGTTTGTTTTGAAGTAAAGCAAATAATTTGCATAAATGGATAATTTTCGATTGAACTCTATCAAAATAACTGAGAATTTGCATTTCCAGAAATGAAATTGGATTAGACTTTACCTAATATGTTAAGCAGTTAGTTGTAGTTGAAAGGAAGTTTTGTAAGCAAGCTATAAATAATTTATTAATAAGATAGCTATCTATAGCTATAAATAGAACATCCATAAATCTTCTATAAGGCCAAATCCAGCCATTCAAATTAGTTGATCAATTTAATTCGTTTTCACGTATGTAACATATTAAAGACTTTACTGACCATTGTAAGGACTTGTTTACAATTGCAATTTAGATGTAATGTGTAGTGAAATATAATTAATAGTTAATATATGAATTCCGGTATTCTATTTTTTTTTATTCGTTCAACAATTCTTGGCTTCCGTTTCATTGCTTCCGCTTAAAAAAGACTTCGCAAATTTGGGAACAAGTTTCGATTGATTGAATGGAAATATTGCAAGTCACTTCTTACACTAATTGAAGGCCTACGGAGACTCTTAAGCATGTTAAATGCGACAAAATTAACAAAAATTTAATAAATAAAATATAACGAGTAATTTGACTGTACAGAAATGAAAAATAAAAAAATAAACTTTAATTATTTTATAAGTTTAAATTAATTGTTAATTAATTATGAAATTGCCTTGCTTAATGTTCAAGTAAGTATATTGGTAATATGAACGAATATAGCTATAAAAACTCAGAGCGGAGCTACTAAAATTATCAGTTCTTATTGGAATTACAAAGTGTACATTCAAATTAAGACTTCTATACACAATATCTCTAAACATGTACAAAGTGGTAAGTGCAATATTATATATAAAAAATTATTTAACACAAATAGTTATAGTGTCATATAACAAAATAATATAAAATAACGAAAATAATAATAACAAAAAATTGCATTAGTTTACGGACGTAGAACTTGGATTGTGTTCCAACCGCGCCAAATTTTCTATCAAATTATATCTGAAGAGTGTTTCATATATGTGTCAAATAATATAATATGAGTTAATATAACTTGTAGTGCAATAAAATTAAATATACTTAAAAATAGTAAAATAAATACTAAATATTTATTTAATAAAATAAAGTTGATTAATAGTCAATGTGACCTTAAAAATAAAAATGTGATATACAATATATAATACATATTATGTATAGAGACTGTTTCAGTTATTTTAAATAATATATTATAAAATAAAATAATTTAAAATGCATAAAAGTAAATATACTTAAAAATAGTAAAATTAATATTAAGTATTTATTTAATAAAATAAAATTGATTAATAATCAATATCAACTTCAAAAATAAAAATGAAGTATTGTATATAATATAGGTATATTACGCACAAAGAATATTTCAGCTGTATATACCTCCTCGGGGAGGTATGCAGATCTGAGGTCAATTATTGCTTAGTCTGATGAAGTGATAAACAATAATTCAGTCAAGGCGTAAAGAGGGGTTAAAAATACCTCGAGTTAAGAAAGAGTAGAAGTGCTTAAATGTACTGGCTCAAATAGCTTCAACATAATAATATAAACTATAATATATAGTATAATAATATACTGTAAGATAAAATAATTTAAAAAGCAATGAGATTTAAGATAATTAAATATAGTAAAATATATATTAAATATTTATTTAATAAAATAAAGTTGACTAATACGTAATAAAGTGTATTTGACTTATGTTTTTAATTAATAATTCAACGTCATTGTAAAAAATAAAATTAAATTTAAATTAAATTTAGTTTTGGATTGTTATAAAGTAATCAATACTAAAAATTAAAGTAGTTTTTAAAAATTACTCACACGAAAAATAGGTAAATAAAAAATACAATAATTTAAAACACAAATTCATAAATTATGAAATAAAAATATAATTAAATACATTTAATATTATAAACTGTAATAGTCATACATTAAATAATACTTCTCTAAAAAAATTTAAAATAGTTTTTTGAATAGTTAATATTATTAAAAAAAAAATAAAAATAAAATATGTTTTAAGAGATTATTTTTTATTAATATAAAAATAATAAAATAATAAAAATAAAAAAAATAAAATGGGATTACTTTTTATTAAAATAAGTTTTTTGTAATTAAATATTAATAATATAAAAAAGTATTAAAAATATATAAAAAACTAGATATAAAAAATAAAACATCAAAAACTTTTTAATATTAATATTAAAATTACAATATAAAATATTTTCTAAATTTTTTTTTAATTTTTTTTAGTTGATTTTGTCCTTTGCACTTATCGCATGTGCCTCAGCACGTCCTGGTTTCGTTGCTGACTCAGCTATCGTCGAAACTGAAGCTGTAGTCGCTAAAGTGGGCGAAGTTGTTCACAGTGTACCAAGTGCTGTGTCCCATCAAAGTCAAACAGTTGTACATGGTCAGACACATGTTGTCAGCGATATTGTTGCACCTGCCGTCGCTGAAGTGAGAACAATTGCTGCCGCTCCTGCCCCAGTAGTTGCATCGCTGCCAGTTGCTACCGCTGCTATTTTGTCACCAAGTGAAATCTCTTATCATGGTGCACCATTGTTGAAGAGCATTGCTGCTGCATCTGCCTTAGCAACACCATTAGTGCAAACTTATGCTGCACCAGTTGCATACGTTCACTAAGGGCTTGATAAAATAGCTTGAGTTAATAAAAAATTGCTATTACTGTGATCTTTGTTATAATATTAAAAATAAAAATTGATTCAAAAATATAAATTAAATTTTAATAATTAGAAAATATATGCATAGAAATTGATGCTGTTTAAACTGTTGGCTTTGTGCTAATTAATTAAAAGTGCGATACTCGTAAAAAGTGAAGTTAAACTTAAATGATTGATTGATTTATCACATAGGAAGAGAAGATATGGTCATCAATTTTAAACTGAATGAAAATAGATAGATAGAAGAGATAGAAGTGAGTGAACTCTTGTTATTTAAGGTACTCGATAAGATATAAATTGTGTTCGCAAAACAAGTTTCAAAAATAGATATTTAAAATTTTATAACAGAAATAATTATAAATGATTAGGCACATATGCTAAGTATATTTAATTACTTTAAGAATGATATTTGATATAAGATTATCACTTAGAAAAAAAAATATGAAAAAATTGAGAATATTTGTCAAGCTTTAAATATCTTCATAAAGAATTTTCAAAAACTCACTAATCGAACTAGTTCATATTAAAGGCGGGAATTTAAATTTAAACAAAAGTCGATCCATTTAATGTTTAAGGTAATTGTTTAAAATAACTTTTGTTGCTCAAAATTTAATCAGAATGTCATCAAATCAATTTATATGTTATTGTAAATTGACTTGACTTATTTTTATAAATCCAGGTTATAAAACCTGGACCTAGCAGGTTACTGCTATCTAGAAAGTCTTGTGGGTTTAATTTTAGCTGAGTGTTACTTGTCAGGTATCATAAACCTCTTCTTCTGTTCATCTATTATTACCCTCATTTTTCGTGTGATCTGGTATCACGTTTATAGTCATAGAGTGCCACCCTAACTTTTCAAGATCAACTTTGAGTAAATTGAAAGTGTTTTGTAAGATATTAAAGAAGTCTGACGGTCTGAATACATACATATACGTGCTTCAATTGTATTAATATAGATATTCTCTGCTGCATAGCTGCGAAGCGTTGGCCTGTGGAAGCTATTTAAATTTAAACAAAATTTTTATAACTATTTCCGAAGCAATCCTTCTGATATGAGTTGATTAACAAATAAATTGTATTCAAAAGGAAAAAACTTTTTCTAAATGATTGTAATTAAATGTGATAAATAATAATATACTACGTGATTATACATACATATAATTTCCTTAAGCAATTTCAGGCCTCAGCATAAAATCTGTAAGTCCAAAAATAAATAAACAAATAGGCACACAAAGAGTTGAAAGTTAAAAGAAAAATTCTTACATCATTCCTGTAACTAAATAAGTATATATGAAATCTATCAAGCGTCTTCAATATCAAATCAATACTACAAAGGACATGGCTCTAGTGTCTGGGGTTCATATTTTTCGCTGCAAAGGAAAAATGACTTAGAAGAGAAAGAAAATGGACTTATCGGATATTCTTAATTTCATCTGGTAAACCAAATGATTTAATTTGTATAACATGAAGAGTTATTTTACAAACAATCGTTAGTATGAGTTCCCTCCTCTTGACAAGTTTTAGAACATCAGAATGGGCATCACTTCTCCGAGTGTGTTTGCACTTACAGGTTTCTTTTAAACTTAACTTAACTCTTTTGTGATATATACATATTGAAAGTCTTAAGTCGTTTGGTAACACCGTCACAATGAGACAAATATAAACTCATATCTTCTTCAGGTAGTTTATTTCGAAATACAGTTATGAGATTTCGATCCACTAAATATGGTAGAATAGAATATAACAGGATAGTGTATAAGCACAATTACCACTGTAGATATTTTATGCTAATGAAGTTATAAGCTCTGGGTTTAGCATTCTCTTTATATACCAGATTAAATCTAGATAGTTACTAAAATCATAAATTGAAGTTTATACTTATGTGCGAGTAGCTAGTGATGACATTTTGTTTACTCTGACCGTCCTATTTCATTAGGAGCGTTGGAAGTGATGATGATTGAGATAAACTGCTAAAAACTTCCTCCTTGTTTTAATATTTAAGTCATACTTAATTATAATATTAAACATGTATTTTGACTGTTTAAGTTCCATAGGAATACTTTACTTCATCCACAAGGATGGTAAGCACGCAAATTCTTTAACATACATAGGTATTGGCAACATTTTTTAGTTTTAAGGAATTTTTTTAATATTTCTGCTAATACTACTAATATTGTTAGGCTCCTAATTGTGCTTTTCTTCAACTTGATAACAGATATATATTTTGTTTTATGTCTAAAATTTGTTTCTCCTTTCTGAATATAAATAAATAATATTAATTGAAATGATTTAAGTTTGTCTTATAGTTGGATTTTATTATTACTTTTATCACAATAAAACTAAAAAGATTATTCCATAGGGACAGTCTTAATGATGGATTCCGTAGGCAACTGGAGCAGCAACAACATGTTTAACTAAAGGAGCAGAGTGTAATACAGGAACTGAGTGAACAACTGGAGCAGCGTGAACTGCATGCACTACAGGAGCAGCATGAACGGTGTGAACAACTGGAGCAGCAATAGTCTTAACAACTGGAACAGTGTGGACAACTGGAGCAGCATGGACGACAGTCTTGACTACAGGTGTAAGTACAGGCTGGACAATGGTTTTGCCGTGCACTTGAGTTAAGCTTTGGTGTGAGACTGCTGATGGTGCACTGTGGACGACAGCACCTACTTTAGCTAAAACGGGTTGATGCACAACATGATGAGTTTCGATAAGTCCTGCGCTGACAGTGGCAAAGCACACGATAGCAACAATAGCAAACTGTTAAATATAAAAAATTTTAAATAATTTTATTAATTTTATTAAATAATTTTTATTAAATTAACTAATAAAATTTATTCTGTACTTACGATTTTATACATTTTTAAAATTTTTGTTTTTATGTTTCGTCGGTTTGAAAGCACAAATAAGATTTGTTGTAGAATGTTAGTTCGTAGGCAGTTTATATACTTTAAGTAAATGCTTAAGAGAAAATATGAATTCTTTCACAAAAGCACTTGCTTGCAGATTGGAACTTGTTTAACGCTGCGCTTAATAGGGCGGTAAACACGCAAACCAAAATCGTTACTTAACACTCGAAGTGCGAAGAGAAACACAAAGCGTGGCTTACCAATAAATTGCGGAAAAGAGTATGAAACCACATGACAAGTAGTGACGGAGTTTAATGTCTTGACCTTCGTAGCACTTAACTTCAGACAAGAAATTATCTTGTCTACTTGAGCGAAACAATTGAAGTTGCATATCTAAAGTAGTTGAAAACGGCTGATAACACTGTTTTGTGCTGATAAAATGCTTACCTGCAGACACATACGCACTCGAATAACAAATAAATGAGAAGAAAAAACTTGCTACAGCTGATTCAAGACTCAAGGTAGTCTGCGCGGGTCTGCTAAGCTCCAGCTTCAAGTTTAGCTTGAGTTTTGTATAAAAAGGTTAAGCCAACAATCGTCAAGCAACAGAAATCAACTGAAGTTTCTACCATAAACAACAATTAAATAAAATAAATTTAATCAAAATGTTCAAATTCGTAAGTTCAAAGGATTATTCTGTGTTCAGGACGTATTTTTATAAACTATTTTGTTCTCAGGTTGCCATTATTGCCACCGTTTGCTTTGCTGCTGCCAGCGCTGGATTAATTGAGACTCACCATGTTGTACATGAGCCTGTTTTGGCCAAAGTAGGTGCTGTCGTCCACAGTGCACCATCTGCTGTTTCTCATCAAAGCATCACTCAAGTACACAGCAAAACCATTGTTGAACCCGTTCTTGCTCCCATCGTAAAGACTACTGTTCATGCTGCTCCAGTTGTACATGCCGTTCATGCTGCCCCAGTTGTACACTCCGTTCATGCTGCTCCAGTAGTACACTCCGTTCATGCTGCTCCAGTAGTACACTCAGTTCATGCTGCTCCAGTTGTACATGCCGTACATGCTGCTCCAGTTGTTCATGCCGTTCACGCTGCTCCTCTTGCTCTTTCCCTTCATCATTAAATGTAAAATGAAAGCAAAACTTTAATTAGATAATTTATGTGATAGAATTTAATAAAATGGCTAACAATTTTTCAATTAATCAGAATGTATTTATTTAAAAGTTCTAAAGTCTGTGCATAAAAGTTAAAATAATCTCAACTGCTGATTATAGTTGGATAACAGATTGCAAATAATTGTAATCAAAGTGTTAGGACTGACATCTAGAAGAAAGAATATTTAATCTCAACGATAAAGAAATTGTAGCTTTAAGATAATATTATATGAAAAGAAAAATGGACAAGACAAGAATTGATTCCGACGCTTTACTTTAACCTCTAGTCAACTCAGCAATTTCCCTTTTGTAAATCCCGCTTCCAAAGTTCATATTTCGACGAGGGAAAAACATTGATATTAGAAAAGATTTTGTGTGTTTTTCTGCATTTTTGTATTTAAATTATTTTTAATAAATAGTATTTTATTGAAACAAAAATATTTACAAACAAATCCAATTGTAATCAGGATATTTTCAATGCTTGAACTAATTAACTAACTTAATTAGAATGTTCAGCATTTTTCTCTGTATGAGTTTTAAATCATCGAAAACTGTAGAATGGGATATTAAAACTATCTCTGAAGTGAGAAGAAGGATTTCAGTTACAAATCCAAATAGTGACATAATACATTCTACTTCAGAAATGAATGGAAAGAAGATAACATATTCATAAGTTCAATATTTATTATGTTTAAATTCTTGAAGCTCGAAAACGTGGGAACAAATATATGGTAGGAATACATAGTGAGTGGAGGGGAGCTGAGGTCTATTACAATAATTTGTAAATTATGCATTAAGCGGTAATTTGATCGTTTCTGTATTTCTTAGAGAAGTACAGGAGTGTTGTTATTTTATGTTTATAACAAACACTGGTTCGGCGTCTGGAAGGAAATAGTGGTATCGGAATAGGTTTTAAGCAATGATTGGGATATTTCAAAATGTTTTATATCTAAGGTTGTTGCATATTACTTTACTGGTTTTGGTTCATTATAGGTTTTAATTTATTAATGGGTCATTTTACAGTAAAGGCTTTTTCTCTCTTTATGTAGTCCTTGTAGCACCAATCTTAACTGTTGCTATGTAAATCATATATTTTGTATTATGCTTAATTATTTTTTTATCGGATTCTTATCCAACTTGTCACCGCAAAACCGTTTAATTATTTTCTCCTAGTTATATGTCGATCTGTGTATTTCTTTGAATGTCTCAAGTCTCCCAGTTTTGAAAATAATCTTATAAAATATTGCAAAACGATTTTAATTATTATTAAAATTATTAAAATTTCAATTGAATCAAATTAGTTGACTATTATTTACTAGCTGTAGGCAAAGCCGAGAAGTCAGGTGTATACTATCTATCACTCTTTCATTTGATTCATGATTATTGCGGTAAACCTAAATTTTATAACAAGCGACGAAACGAAGCATAGTACCTTTTTTATACTTTATATAACTCTCAAGTTAGTCCTGATAGAAATGTATTCGAATATGGTTTTATTCCAATGTTAGCGACATTCATTGTCGACTTTTCGGTCGGTAGTTGGTGTTTCAAAACCCTTTTTTGCATTTTTGCGACCATTTGTAGTATTGATTTAGTTTCTTGACGTCCTTCGTTTGGATCCTTTTTAAGCCTTGACGCCGATTTAACCAATTACTTCACTTAGAGTCCATTCCTTTTAAAGGATCAAATTCACTTAACTGATTTACTATTACGTTTTGAATTTCCATTGATATTATTTATTTTTTTAAAAAATAATTTAATCACTCCTTCTTTGTTGATTAGCGTTTTTCATTGCAAAAAGTGTCTTAAAACCTGAACTTCAAATGGCTTGTCAACAATGAATATAACAACAAAGTGAAATGTAATCTCGGATATGTTTTAATGAAAGAAGAGATATTCAAATAGCGTTGAAGTTTTAGTTTTACTATTGATTAGCAGGTGGCGCTCTGATAACATAAATGTCTAAGATTTTGAATTCAAAATGAATTCTTGACTTTTATTTATTTACTTTGTTTTGATTAGGGATAGAGGATTTTAGTTTTATTTTAAAACTAACTTCTTCAAGAAAATATTTACATAAATTTGTAAATTTTTATATATGTGTAACATATATATACTTATTTATATTAATATATTAAATACGTAAACGTTAAAAATTAACTTTAGCATATATTTAGGCACTTTTTTTAATATGACGAGTGTGTAGCATTGAGTGATATTTATGTTTGTACTCACTCAAATTATTAAAGTAAGTAGCAGAAATTTAATCATTTATTGATAAATATTTATTATTTTATAAAAAAAATTATTAAAATATTGCTGAATTAGGTTGACTGATTAATTTATAAAAATATATGAAAGTAATTGATTACTTGATTCATTTATTAATTAAAAACTAAATTTTTCTTTGACTATTTAAAGAACACTATTTTCTATATCACTATAATATAAAATCACTCTTTTTGTTTTATATATAAATAATATATATCGCTTCATTTGAGTATATGGAATTTTTCTTAGTTTACTTGATATAATCTAAACAATTTTATTTTTCCTTAAACTATAAAAAGTCTCTTTGACTTTCATATGTACAGAGTTATCTATTTTGTAGTTTTGAAAATAAATGCGAAAATCGATTAAATTCTTATTTCAGTTTAATCCTTGCTCCTCAAATGCTTTAATTCATAATTTGGATCATTACTCAAATATCCTTACACCTTACACGGATTAAAATAATAAAAAAGGATTGATTTTTATTTTAAAAAAATATGCTTTAATTATTTAATTTGAATTTCTATTTACAGACCAAACGCAAAAATATGAAATAATGAACAAACTTTCCATTTTAAATAGAGCATCTGATTGGCAGTGGGATATAACAAAATGAGATGTCTGCATTCTAAATTAGAACACAAGGACTAATAGATGTGAGATACTTAAGTTTACCAGCCATGACCGTGACCAAGAGCAATTGGTGCAGCAATCGCATGCGTAGCTAAAGGAGCAGCATGCAAAAGTGGTAAGGCAGGAGCAACAACTGAGGTGATCAAGGGGCGAGCATGAAGTTGAACATGGCTTTGATGTGAAATAGCAGCTGGAATGCTATGCAGAAGTGGTGCTGCAACCAAAGCAGGAGCTGGAGCTAATATGGCACTTGGAGCCAATAGACCTGGACGAGCAGCAGCAATGCTGAGCAAAGCACATAATACAATCTGTAGAGAATAAAGGAAATTAAATAAAATTAGTATTTTTTATATTAAGCTTATCTTAATAACTTACGAGTTTGAACATTATTATAAGCCTCTACTTAAAGTTATTTTATGTTTAAGTCAAGCTTCGATTAAGCGTTTGATATGTTTTGATGTTGTCGACAATTATGCCTGGCCTTTTATACTGAAATTACTGATCATTTACTTCAATTAAAAGTGATTTTTTCGCACTTTTTTTTAATTTCTTTTATGTGCAATTGCAGTGGAAATGTTGCTCATACGCTTCGGTGCTTGACAGTGCATTTGCAAACCTTTCCGGGGACAAGTTTCTCAACGAGCAATGCTGAAATATGATTCTCATTTTGTATCTATGACTTGAGTTTGGTTGTAGATATTGTCATCATTGTTAAGATGGGAGTGTACATTCTATGGTAAAAAGCTGTTTGTTATAATTAGGAACTCCGCATAACATTGTTTAAAACATGTTTTATACATAAATGAATAAAAAAGTTTGAATAAAATTAATAAATATGTTGAATAAATTAATATAATATTATTATATTAAAGAAGTTATGCTAAAAATTGCATAAGGCTTTAATTATCTTGTACTTTTTTATAACAATTAACAATTAACAATTAAATATAAACAATTTTTATAACCTGATACTATACCCAATAATTGGCTACTTACCAATTAGTTTTACTAGTGTAGATATTCTTAAGTGCTATATCAGTTAAAATTAATTATGTGTGAAATAAGTAGCTATGTTCTTATTTATTCATATTTAAGTAAATATATTTATCTTCAAGCAAAATATGTCAGGTTCAATTAAAACTCTTGGCGTTCTAAGCAAATCCGCATACTACGAGTATATAACAGAACATGTGTATTAATTATAATGAATTTTTCGTCATTTCGACTATAAAGTATTTACCACAAATAATAGCATATCTGATCAAATTCATAAACTACAATTTCCGAAGTTTTTCAATTATTGTCGGTATATTGAATTCACTTGTGGTTACTAACTTTTAGATGCAAGTTCAAGTTCAAGGAAGTTTGTGGTTTCATTTCTGTTAGATCAAACGTTTCAATTTCAACTTTAGACTTTAAATAAAATTTATATTTGAATATTTGGATTGGAAGTGTTTTAAATTTTATCTTAAAGCAATACAGGTCTTAAGAAATAATTTTTTTTTAAAATTAGATTACCTAAAAAAAATTGTTAGAGAATTATTAGGGCACAATGTTAAATGTAAATGTTATTTGCAATGATAGTCCACTATTTGAATGAAAAATAACATCTCTACAAAGTTGATATCATTAAAATCATCTTAGAGATACTTTGAAAAATAAAGGAATAAGGCTGTATAATATACCTACTTCATAAAATAATTAAGTACTACATGTACTTGGATAGAAAATGATGGATAGAAAATTTTTGATCTGAAAAAAACAAAAATATATATTGCTTTTAGCTTTGATCGATATGTTCTTACAATGTACGTATATGTATGTGTATATGTATAAAAATGCATGTCTTTATATGTATACTAAAATATATATATGTAAGAAGGACTCGTATGGCAACCCTGGCGATAGCAGAAAGTTAGTTAAGTTGATGATGTTGAGAAGAGCGGTTGTAAAGTTGTCGAGTCCGGTCGTTGTAGGAGCAATTGTGTTCTCGTATTGTTTCTTTCTTTTGATATAATTATTTATTCTTATTAATAAAATAGTGAACTTAATTCTATTCTTTACATATATATATAAATGTTTTATACCTATACTATAAAACATTAATTATATTATTTCCATTCTTTTCGAATATATCATCACTATTCAATAGCAGAAGCAGAAAAATTTTCTTATAGGTTTCTAATTTTAGAAAGATTAGATTACGAGTATATTAGACCCAGTGCAAATATATTCCACGCTTATAAATAAAGCATAAGCACAGTTAATATTTGTATAAAGACCTAAGTTTGAGAAATATGCTGGATAGACGAGTAATTCCATATGTTTATCACAGTTATCATTATCATTCTCTGACCAAAAGGTCGAAAAACCTTCTCCGTATAAATTAAAATTATATTAATTAATTAATTTATTATATATTTAATAAATGCTAACTAAATAGTAATAATAACTATTGAGTGTATCTCTATTTATAGTTCTTTCGCTATTTTTTTTTTTCATTGACATGCTACAATTTATGTGGTAATATTACTTAATAATCGCTTTTGAAGGTTGCACTTTAATATTATATCTCGTTCATTCCAAACAGCAGGTTCTGTCATGTGGTATCTTTATTCTGTGTGTTAAATTGACAGTCAAACAGCTATCAAGGCGTTTAACTCTATGACTTTAAATTAAAAGTCGACATATATGACATATATATTTCATGACTACTAGGGCACAGCGATATAAAGGGAAATGGTATCGAATATGACTTTGCTAAAAAAGAAATGACTAACAAGATATATTTCTTAAAGTTTAATTATATTACACCCATTGCAAGATTACCAGTGCCAGAACTTTGTAAAAATTCTTTACAGTAAATATTCACGTAATATTAAATATTTAATAATTTTATCAATTTCATAAAAATAATATTAATCAAACATAATGCAATAATATTTGACAATACCTGAAACAATTGTACGGTCAACCAAAAATTCAATTAATTGTAAATAAATAAAAGATTTTGTTGTTGCAATTCACTACTGTTCGAAACCTCTCCATAAGTAAAACAGTAAATTATTATTCCGTTAACGTTTTCATTACAAGAATATAATTTTTATAATTAGTCTTAGTTTATTTAATTTAATCACTAATTAAATTTTATTTATACATTTTTACAAATATTACAAAACATTTGCATATATCGGCTAGGTTATTAATTTGAAATGTTCTCACGATATGAAGGTAGATATTTTGAATAGCAAGCAAATCGAAGTAATTTTACTTGCAAATATAATTTATGGTACTTAGGACTAATAGATACCCTGTTATGAGTACGTAATTTATAATAATAAATATGGTAAACCATTTAAGAAGTTGTTTGAATATTAAATTAGTTAAAAGCCAGATGGCCAAAATAAATAATTAAAAACTTTAACAAACTAATTAAAAAACTGTTAATAAATTTTTATTATTTCTATACTTATTCTCATTTTAATTTGAGTTGCAGTTTTTTTATTTACAAAAGTACTTAAAATATATATATTTTTCGATGACAGTAGATAATCTATTAATTTTTCTCAGAAACGGTTTGAACTACTGCTTCACTAAAAAGTAAGTACAAAATACTTAGTAACATTATAATAAAATGATATGGTACCTACATTAATAAAGTAAGGGCTAAGGTTCTCAATGGAATACAAGTCTATAACTTAAACATATATTTTGTATCACAGTTACCTGATGAAAAATAAAAAGGAATTTTTGCAGTTTAAAAAAGGTTATAATATTAGTGCCAAGAAGTTCTGGAAGAAGTCCTTTCCGATTAAGAGATTCTACACATGTATCTCATTTCTCATATTACAAGTGGGTAGCTAGAAACTTGTACAGAATGTGACAATAAGATTAATTTTTTTTATATTACTTAATTATCCCATATATAATATATCTAAATCAATAAAAAATATTTAGAATGCAGTAAGATTCAGCAAATAATTTACTGCTTTACTTATAAAAGGTTGTAATAATTAAAAGTGTTCAATAATGTTATTGAAGAAGGAATAATACCAAGTATCTCTGACCGATTATATGACACAAATAACAAACAGTCTTCTATATAAAGTTTCCTCCCTCCAGTCTCCTACAACAAGAAGTATTGTTGATGTACTTACAGTATGCAATAGTATGGAGTCCTATAAAAGGTGTTCGGACGAAAGAGAAAATTGAACAGTTGGAGTATTTTTAAGATTTTTTTCTCTGAGCAATTACTGAATAGGGCGCGGTTGATTGAACGGTTGGTTGAAACTTATATGAGATCTTAATGAAACTAGATGATATACTGAAAGGCATTAAGTAGATAACCTAAATCCTATTATTCAATATGCGGATCCGTTATAAAAAAAATAATATAATTCAAAGGAAAAAATTTAAATACTGGTATGCTCGAGAAGATGATTAAATAGATATTGATTAGATCTCTACCTGCAGTCGGTTTCTATTTAATATTAGTTAATAACATCCAGACTATTTTGCTTTTGTACGCTCCAATAATCTTTATGAAATAAAAATTCATATAAAAATTTTATTTCGTCTCCTTAAACATAATGTATTTGTTAGGTCAGTGAACTTATTTTTATCTCAATTTTTTTTCATTCAAAACTAGTTTCTTTTTTCTGTTAAATCTATTAAAATTGTTTACTGTTTGTCAAAATTTACGATCGTAGATAAGCAACAACGTGCGTTTCTTTTTGATCTCTCAATTGAAGCCGTTCAGGGTTAAGGTTCACATTGATTGAAATTAAATTGCGCTCACAAAATCCGCCGTAAAACCATTAATTTTCATAAAAAATTTAAATATTTGCAAGTAATTCAACGGTAATTGCGTTTACTTAAATTAATCTTAATTTGCTGAATGGCAAACTAATAATTTGAATTTAAATAAATTGTTGAAATGAACGGATTTAATTATTTAAATATTATATCTAATGATTTTTGCTAGAAGTTTTTGTTTATTTTTCAATAGAAAAAAGTATTGAAATTGAGTTGCGGTCACAATCAAGTTTGTGGTTTTAATGCATTTGTTCTTCTGCACCCCTTCCGTGCGGGTATGTATACCTGCATGTGTTTTATACATGTACGTAAATACATGATGTTATTTAAAAGTGAAAGGATTAGATGCCAGCACGTTTCTTTCGATAGAGACTATCACTCGTACCATATAAGTACCTGGTTTCGGATTCAGTATGACTTCTAATTATTCTTAATTATGTTTTTTAAACTGTGGGTTCAAGTTAATTCCAGCTTTGTATGTGTGAAATGCTTGTAGATGTAAATAGATTTGATTGCCAATTTGTTTAAATAAGATCACTTAAACTTGTAATTAATTTACACTCAAAAGAATATAGAATATAAAAAAATATTGTCTTCAAAAGTTTACAAATGAAAATGAAGTACTTGTCTACTATCCACTAAAGTGAATTGCTTCTAAATTGGACAGTTTAATTT